AGAACATTGAAAATTTTTAATTTATAAAAAAAGCGCTCGAGCGCCTTGGGCGCTCTCGCGCAACTTTCAGAAAATTTTCAAGTCGGAGCGCCCACGAGCGCCTTCGGCGCTCGTGCGCCCTGGTTCTTTGAACCACTTGAACCCCCGCTAGAAATGGCTCTGTGTATAGTAAACTATAGTGAACTATATAGCTATGTCTTTTCATTTGACATTTTTCCGCGCAACTTGTCTGTATTACATTTTCGCTCCAAACTACTCAATTAACTTTGATTCAAAGTCATGTGATTTAAGTTCAAAGTTTTACTCTAAAACTCAAAGCTCTTCCCGAAACAAAAGTGAAACCTGTAGATGAATTATATTTGATTTAGAAATAAGTTGGTACACGGTTCGAAATCTACGCACACATCTATTCGATTTTCAGTAGAGTGGAGTGGGCTATACGATTTTACGTATAGTCTGACGTTTAGAAGCGGTTTTTGCGGAGAAACATACATTCTGTAGCGTTGACAGATGCGTAGGTAACTAATACAAGCGCGGAATATATCTAAACGTCAGACTATACTTAAAATCGTATAGACCGCTCCACTCTACTGAAAATCGTATAGATGTGTGCGTAGATTTCGAACCGTGAAGGTATAAATATCAAAATGACAGTTTTCACCCGAAAAAACAACAACTTGAATTTAAATTAAGATGAAGCAAATTCACAACACACACATACAAAAAGAAACACATGAAAGTGTTACAAAACGGAAGCAATAGTCTAAATGCAAAACTCTCAGTAAATATTTGAATGAAATAGAAAATGAAGAATATTTTTAAAAAAAAACCAACAGGTTTGTTTTTCAAACATGAATGAATCCGAACATACTGAAGCACTATTGTCCCTTGAAAGAGCGAGAGAGAGAGAAAGAGAGAGAGAGAGAAAGAGAGAGAGAGAGAGAAAGAGAGAGAGAGAGAGAGAAAGAGAGAGAGAGAGAGCAATTGAACAAAAGAAAACAAGAAGTGGTTAACATAATTTTAAACTATAGATTATTACATACCGGAATGGGAAAATTACTACATAAACTGAGCCTATTATACACCTAAAACGTCTGTTATGAATATACGATTTACGAAAATGACATACATAGTACTTCTTTCATTTGTTTTTTTTTTGTTATTCATGTGACTAAATGTGAACGTGATCAAATGGAATTAAGTTTCGATTATTATTATTATTGTTTCAAGCTCATTTGTTTCTCGCATTAAGTTTAAACTCATTTATACAGAAAAAAAACTATATATATAATTTGTAAACAATTTGGTGGCACTAAAGTTAAAACAAATACACGATGGATTTACTTAAGTATTAAGTGACAAAAATGTTATCAAAGGAAATTATTTCAAATAAATTCGTTAAAAAAAATGATGTAAAACTGACGAAAATAAATGTCTTTTCTTTCTGTGTCGCGTTAATTGTGCAACTAATTCTTATGCAAAACTGTCGAAATGGGTTTGTATTTTTCGCTTAAACCTCTGTTTGTGGTACACCTTCTATCAGATGTGTTTTACTCGATTCAATACTTTTACGCGCCGTGGGCACTGGTGTTGTTGATGGTTTGTATTCGGTTGGGCTGTCATCTGATATTGTTTCGCGGGATTTACCATAATTATTCATCAGATTACGACCATCATCGTATCGGCCGCGTGGATTTGTCGATATACTACGGTCACTGAACTTACTCCTTTTGTCGGTGATATCTCTGGGTGTAACTGGTGACTCTTTTAGTGAGATTGCACCACTGTGCAACGACGTTTGACTGTTTGTTTTTGTGGTTTGAGTGATACCCAACGAACTGGGTGAACGCAGTGATGCTGTATCTTGAATGGATTTCGGCGGTTTTGTATCCTTGAACTCGTAGATGTTATCGGTCGTTCGGAGTGCATGGGTTTGTGCGGCTTTATTTTCAATGCCAAGCACTGCATCTGATTCGCCCGCATCAATAAATATATCACCATCATAAAATCGATCGGCCTGTCTGAAAAGTGCACGTTTGTGTACGAGTGAAAAATATGAGAAAATCGCCGAAATTCGTTTCGAATGACAGACCGAGTAAAAAATGAGCTGAATTCGTTACCTTTTGGCATTACGCCACAGAATGCAACACATGACAACAATAACCATTAAAGACATACATGCTCCCGTCATGCTCCAAAATGCGATTTGAAGTGGTTCCCTTGGCTCCCACCACCATTCGGTCGATGGCGGGTATGTTGGCACCAGAACTCCGATTACCGTCGGAAGATACTGCCAATGAAAAGAAAATCCATATTAGTATCGTAGTTACCCTGAAAAACAAATCTCTGTGCATCGTTGTTCTGGTGGGTACCTGTGACCAAAAAGCGGACTCTGTTTGTCGAAAGTTGAGCAATATTGATGAGTTGTACGTCGTGTTTAAATTTAAATATTTTAATTCGCCATCCTTGGCTACATCAAAATGAATGCCAAGTACTTGTTGGGGCGTTGGATTACCATATCGTGCGAAAGCCGTGTAAGTTTTCATGAAAAAGTGGCTCATGTTCCGGTCGTTGTCGGTCCACATGTTTCGCTTTAGGCGTAATCGCTTTGGGAAAAATTCCGTGTCCATGAAAAAATGGGCACCCGTTAAAAAGAAATGCTCCGCATCATGCGGCACTTTGCGCCATTCGGGCAAGTTAAACGCTTCAACCGTTGTATTCATGACGTACCAGTATACGGGCACTTTTTGCTGAACCAGCAACTTTACCATGTGATCGACTGGCGTACGATACCAGAAATCAGATAAAAGCTAAAATATTTTGCGGAAAAGGAGACATAATGTTATTAGTTAAATTGAATTTCGGCGAAATAGAAGTTCGAAGCGGAAGTTCGACGAATGTGTATAACGTATGAATAAATGTCTATCACTCACATGAATATATTGTTTCCGAATGAATGTTGTATTTTTCGGATTGGGCCAATACGTGTACATGTATTTTATCGCTTCGTACACACCAATCGGATTCAATGTATAATTGTAACGGAAAACCAGTTCTTTTACTTTTTGATCGTAAAACTGCTCGGTCACTTCATAATACGGTGCTAACGTTTCATTTTGTGCTGAAATAAGATAAGAATTCATTAGATTTCAAAAATCCATCAAGGTCGTAAAGTTTCTACTCACAAATTACGTAAGCTGCTTCTTGCATTGTAACGCCGGTCATGTAATGTAGATTTCGATTGAATTTCCTTGTTCGAATAAGTTGTTCGGGAGTTTCACTCAAAAAGTGCCAATCTGCTTCACGCCAACCCTCATACCAGTTATCGCCGGGGAATGTGAAATTATTCTCGAGAACTGGACCCCATGGAATGTTTCCAACTTGTGGATTAAATTCCGCATTGCCAAGCTCATAAAAACTTCGGCCCTGTTTCAAACAGTTGACAATTTTCCATGACGATTCAATCGAACAGCCCAACAACTGTGCATAGACGCGTGTCGTATTCTGTGCCCGATATTTATCTTGAATCAACGCCCAGTCGGCCAATGCAGATCCAGACGTTGCAATTACTTTTGTTACAATATCACGCGTTTGCGGTGCAACCATCAATAAACCTATAAATTGAGCAAAGAAAACACATTTATTCGTTCGAACTCATATTCAAAGTTTCAAACGTGTTTACTAACCAGCTGATGCAGCACCAGCTCCGGGGCCAAACAATGTAATCGACTGTCGGTCTCCGTTGAAAAATTCGATATTGTCATAGACCCACTTTACGGCCATTGCTTGATCTAAAATGCCGTAACTTCCGGGCGAATTCTCATCACCTGTCGATAAAAAGCCCAATGCACCCAACCGATAGTTGATTGAAACAACAACGACTTTATAAAATGTCGCCATAACATGCGCTGGAAATGTATTCGATGCTCCATGTGAAAAGTCACCGCCGTGAATATAAACCATAACTGGGTATTTTTGGGCGATGCCCGCCGAAATATCCGGTGAAAATATGTTCAAGTACAAACAATCCTCATCAATATCGCGGATGCTTTTCGTTGCACCTGTATATCGAACTGGCTGTGGACCGAAATCAACGGTTTGCATCAACTGCCATCCTCGATGCGGTCTGGGTGGCTTAAGTCGGCCTTCAAATGTTGGTGGCAGTGCATATGGAATGCCAAGGAATACGGCACACTCACCAGTTATGCGGTCAACTTGGCTATGCCATGGACGATAGAAACTTTTTGGATCGGGATCATCGTATAATCGCACTTTAAATCCCTGCACTTGACCATAGTTGGTGGCAACGAAAACATCTCGATCAAGAAGGAATGAATCACGTCTTTGTTTGCCTTGTAAATCTTCACGCCATCCACCCAAAATACCAGGGAATGGTGTTTGAACATTATCAGGATTATTCTATTACATTGAGAAAAGAAAAACGTGGTTAACTTGCTGCTGTCCCAAATATTTGACCGTTTCGCCTACTAACCGGATCGTATTTAAATTTGTCTTCGCCAAGAGGCACACCTGCTGGATATTGATTTGGATGCTTTTGGCCGGGATATTGGTAACCATAACCATTTGGTTGGTAGTGTCCATATCTGCGATCGTTGAACGTATACGTTCTGCGAGTTGAAAAAAAAAAATTTCAAACGAGAAAAAGTGAACACTTGCACAAAATTTTAATAACATGAACTGCACATGATTGCTCATGCAAAGTTCCTGCCAGTGAATTTGCGTGCACCCGATATCGGTGCATTTTTGTCGACTAATGAAGTTTTATTCTGTTTATTTTGTTTTGCTATATTTACGGTTTCCCTGCCATTCTTCGTTTCGGGACAGCAGTTTAAATTTAAAAAAACTGCTCAAAAAAATAAAAAAGTGAGAAAAAAAAATAATTTCATAGTAAATTTACCGATACTCGGGATCGCCCGGGTTTGGCCACTGGTATTTATAGTCTCCTTCACGCCTATACCATCTGGGATCGCGCGTTGGATATTGGCATTCACATAAATATGGCAACGCTAAGAACACTACACATAACATCCATTTGTGCCCGCTTATGTGTATCGATTGGGTGAATTTCCGCTTTTTCAAAACACTTTTACACTTGAAAATCTTCTTTCGCTGGTGGTCACAACCCCTGCACCACACTAACAAAACAAAGTAAAACACGAATTTG